TAACTGAGTAACCTAGTAAGTTATATACTTGATAATTTAGAATGTTTAAAAATGCAAATTTTGAACTGAGAACTCTGAAACTTTGAAAACTGTGAAATCTGGAAGTATGTAAGTGACTGTTAGGAATTTTTGGAAATCAAAAATTTACAAATTTATAAATCTGTGATTACAAAAATCTTGAAATTTGTCAATTAGAAAATACAGAAATTTGTAAATTAAAAAATGAAAAAATTTACAAATTAGAAAATCCAGAAATTTGAATATTAGAAAATCCAAAAATTTACAAATTTGTAAATTAAGGAAAAATTCAGAAATCAGGAAATGTATAACTAAATGAAGAATTCAAAGACCTTGAAATTTACAAATCAGAGAACTAAGAAATCTTTAAATCTGAAAATAATGAAACTATTCTGAAACTTTGAGAATCAATTTAAAACTACAGAAACAATTTCTAAATTAACTAATTACAAATTAGAATATTCAGAAATCTCAGAATTAACATATTCCGAAATCTTTGAATTAGAAAATTCAGAAATCTCCAAATCAAAGAATTCAAAAATCCACGAATCAGTAAATATAAATACTAAACATGTGAAAATCCCTATAAAACTATCAAAATACCCAATAATCAAAAACCGCAACAGACCAACATCTATTTCCCGTTGTTCGATTAATGGCGGTTCATTATTCATCACGTACACTCTCGATCGAGCCCCATTTCAAAAAGGAGGATAATCAGCAATAAAATGCAGCACGCCAAGAAACGTGGTCGCGCAATGTACTTTCGAATTAATTTTCTCCATGCACTCTATCGCCAATAATCACACAACTATCCAAACATATTTCTGAATAGTTACATCAAGATATTTCCGAGTAGTCACATCAAGATCTTTCCGCTCAAGAAATACGTAGTGAAAAAATAAGAAGAGTGCGTTGCGGGACCCCGTTCGTAGGAAGGCAGAGCCAGTTGGTTGTTCTCGTATTATTATTATTTTTCTTCATGTATTAAACACGCCTAGCTTTATTCAATAAGGTGATACAGGGTAGCTAACGTCTTGTTAAGCACAAGCTCTGCGACATCGTTTATAAGAGACCAATATACAGATCTAACCTTACCTAAAAATAAGAAATGAACAAGAAAAAGAATTCTGTGTGAGTGTGTGTATACTCTTAAAACCCTCAAATCTTTGCTTTTCCGAATCAAACTTTCTCACCGTTACTCTAATCACACTCTCTCTCTCTCTCTCTCTCTCATTCTCTCTCGCACGCAAGGTCTTTCGTGTCTGGTGACACGAAAATCATCGCCAATGTGAGAAATTATTGTCTCCAAGAGAGAACAAAATGGGGCGAGACTACTCCGTGTACAGAATGTGAAACGCAATGATATTATTATTCTACGAGGACGTCTCGTGACCGCGACTCGTGTTTGCGAATTAATTTTATGGTAGAATTCACTTTTTAATCTGCATTACTCGGGGTGCACTGATAGGTAAATTTAGATTAATGGGTTATAAGGTTATTTGTTTGGCGCAAATTAGATAATTGTATGAGGAGGTAGATTTGTTTTTGATTTTGGGAAGTTTAGTCATTTGGTGATTTGCAAATTTTGAAGTTAAAAATTTGGTAATTTGTTAGTTTCGAGATTTGCGAATTTCAGAAGTCAAAAATTAGATAATTTGTTAGTTTGGAGAATTGCAAATTTTTGAAGTTGAAGATTTGCAAATTTCTCAAGTTAAAAATTTACTAATTTGTCAGCTTGGAGATTTGCAAACTTCTGAAGTTAAAAATTTAATAATTTGTCAGCTTGGAGATTTGCAAATTTCTCAAATTAGAAATTTGATAATTTGTTAGCTTGGAGATTTGCAAATTTCTGAAGTTAAAAATTTGGTAATTTGTCAGTTTGGAGATTTGCAAATTTCTGAAGTTAAATATTAGATAATTTGTTAGTTTGGAAAATTGCAAATTTTGAAGCTTAAAATATGGTAATCTGCGAGTTCAAAAATTTGGAAATTTCTGAAGTAAAAGTTTGGTAATTTGTAATTTTGTAGATTTGCAAACTGAAGCTGATAATTTGGTAATTTGAAAGTTAAAAATTTATAAATTTCTGTGTTCATCAATTTTTAAATTCCAAAACTGACGAATTTTACAATTTATTAATTTTATCAAACTTCATACCAAATTTCTGCATCATCAAATCTACAAACTACCAAATTTATAAGTTACTAAACTTCCAAAATTCTAAACTTTAAAATGACCAAATTTCTCCACTTCCAATCCTCAAAATGGCATTATTTCTAGATTTCTAACCTCCAAAATGGTCACCTTACAATTTCCTAACTTCCAAAATGGCCACCTTACAATTTCCTAACCCCCAAAATGATCAAACTTCTACATTTCCAAACTTCAAAACCAAACTCTTAAATCACTGATTTTAAAAATAAAACTTTTCTAAATTATGTACATTTGTCATTTCTAAAAAGAACATTTTCATAAATAAATAAAAATAATTTCTTTAAATAAGTAAACATGATTCCTTTAACATTCTTCCTTTAACACATTCCTCTAAACAAGATTTCAAAAAAAGAAATAAAAATAGAAACATAGGTTTATTTACTCACAAAATTTGTACATACAAATTAAAAAAATAAAGTAACTACAGGTTAGTGTGACAACTGACCCGAGTAATGCACGATTAAAGCAAAGTAGATCACTGCAGAAACGAGTTACGATTACGATCACGTCAGAGGAAAAATCGGTTAACGAGCGATCAAATACTCGATGGTAAGAATTCTATATTCGCTCGATCTACGCAAATATCTCTTCGCTATGAACTAGAAATTGAGCACACAACATTGATCTGGAAACTCCTATGCAGCCGGATCGAACAATTATTATTACTATTAAACACCTTCGGGTCTTTTCTTCTTATTTTTCATTGGTACCATAAATTTGATAAACTAGGACACAACAAAAATAATATGGTGAATTATTTAAATTTTTACTTTATGGTGAAAGTAAAACTCTAAATTTAATTTTAGTTAAATATTGTTAAGGTTGAATATTAAATTAAAATGTTATTACTGATGTAAGATGCTACAATTTCTAATTAATTTTTCAGTACAAACTTTTCAGTTACTTTTCTGTCAAATCTTTTGTAGGTTATGTTTCTCAAATTTTAATATGATTATCAAGAATTTATACAGTTCACTATTATCCTACATCAAGTTTATTAATAAATTATCTTACATTCACCAATTTTTAAAAATGACACCAATTATTAAAAATTTGCAAATTTCATAAATGATATACAACTTAAAACTGTTATCAATATTTTCCCTCTAATTGAAACAATTATTGTAAATACACAGCTATAGAAGACTAAGTCTTTCATAACAAATGTCTACATAATTCCTAACCAATTATTGCCCAATTTCAAGTTATTTTCCAGCCTTATACCAATACAAATCTAATAAATTTGTGGTACCAAAAGTGACCCTCAAACGACACGTCGTTCAAGAAAAGATAAATTCACGGCAAATAGATGATCAAAACGATCATTTCCCTTCTCTGTATGTGTGTCCATGTAAATATGTGTAAGTGTACGCGCACGTATACGTATCTAAAATTGTTAGTTTAGATAATTACGCTAATATCTTGAACTCGCTGGAGGTTTACTTTCTTCTATTTGGTAATACGTCTATAGATTTATAATATAATGCATAATTCCAGCATGTTTCTCGTTTAGAGTATGATTACGTTCCGTTTATTTTCCATATATAATTATCAATATTATTCGTTACAATTAAAAACGACCACTATTGCAAAAGATCGATCGGATTATTACCGTATTATCGAATGAATACAAATGTCTTTGTTCAATCGACTTCATCCAGGTATCCATTATGTTCTGTCTCTCCGTTCATTCTTCCACCATTGTTTCCCGGAAGAAGTCCGCCGACGTTTTATAACGATTACATGATTACATGTGTTCTAAACACGTGATTTACTTTTCGGTTTTCGTTCTTTCACTCTGTCCCATTCATCCTTCGCCTCGATAGAAGAAAAAGCGAACTATAATGTATATACATGCGTATATGTACAAGTTGTTTCCAATCTGATGGTGCTGGAGATAATCTAGGGCATTTTTGGGGAAATTTTAAATTCTCAAATTTAGGAATTTAGAATCATAGATTTATTAGATTTGAAAATATAGGAATAATACTTTTGTGAATTTGGAACTGCAGAAATATCTGTTCTATTGATTTATAAATTTGGAGATATGAATTTTGTAAGTCTGGAAATTTTACTGGTTCAGAAATATAACCACATCAATTTTACAAATTATGAAATATCTATTTTACACATTTACAAATATAGAAATATTAATTTTATAAATTTAGCAATACAGAAATATCAATTTTGAAAATTTGTGAGAATCAAATCAAATCAAATTCACAAATACAATAATACAAAAATATCAAATTTAAAAATAAGTAATATAAAAATGTCAAATTTACAAATACAGTGAATGAAAAATAATAAATTTAGAAATATAGTGCATCAAAAATAATAAATTTAAAAATACAGTGCATCAAAAATAATAAATTTAAAAATACAGTGAATGAAAAATAATAAATTAAGAAATACAATAAATCAAAAATAATAAATTCAAAAATACAGTGAATCAAAAATATCAAATTAACAAATACAGCAATAGAGAAACACTGAATTAAAAAAAACGCAACAATTTTGTAACATAAATTTGTAAATTTAAATTTGTAAAGCATCCTAAAAATTTCCAGCAAATTCCCTTAAGCTTAACTCCATCCTACCAGACTGGAAACAGTTTGCATATACACACAAGCACATTAAAATTCCCCTAACCGTTCATCAGAATGTTAATTATTTAAAATTCTGCCACACTCGCGCCATCAAAAAACTCGTTCGATTGAAAGTGGTCGGCTATACAACTAGAAGAAAAAAATTACATCTGGATTTCCTAATTCTAATAAGAAGAGCTTTTAATCTGCTTCAAACATTAATCAATCATTAATTCATCGTAATTAATATTATGTATATGTATACATATATATATACTATATATAAAAAAGGCTGTCTTGCGACGGTGCACGAGCGGTCGCGTCCTCCGAGTCGACACTAAAGATCCAATATACAAAACATCAACGTCATCATCATTGTCATCATCGGTATCGAAAGATACTATATTTTTCAAAAATCTACCCATCAAAATAAAAAACTATCGAATACAAAACATAAAATACGATTAACATAGGAAAAAATGTATAATAAATCGTGTTCCACGGAACATGAAGTCGTAAAAAAAGAATGGACTCGGAGGGCGTGTCGCACTAGTGTGAACGTCCGAAGACTTAGCGTCGGATCTCGCCGTGACAAGTTGCCGATATTCTCGAGAAAAACAGCACAAAAATGACAGACATCAAAACGAACAATCTGGATCCGAGATCAGTTTAACAGGGAACCGTAGATTGTTGCACGGGTTCTTAATCTACAACGTACATCGTGGTGTGGAATGATTAACCCTTTCGCTATCGGTCCTCTAAGTCGTGTAATTCGATACACAATTGCTTTGTGTGAACACAATAATTTCCCTCGCAAAATTATCAAATTTTAACACTTCGACGATCGCAAGTATATCGCAAAAATTCTACATCAAACGTACGAAGTGTCGATCGTTATTTGAGAATTTTGGACGCCAATTAAGTGAACGCCTCGTATAGGACGACGTGGTTTTACAGAGCTTTTATTTGCAACGTGAGTCGGATGAGTCTAGTCACACAATACAATGTTTATGATGTCAAACGCCTTGTACAGTATACAATTTTAATCTGAAATACAATATAGCATTTACCGCGTTATTATGGTTTAACATCGCGGCCGCATATTTTATGGAATTAGCCGTATAATGCTACGCTATCAAATTACGTTATAACGTGGGATGATAAATTACAGACTTTCGGAAATTAGAGGGCAGGATATACTAGCGTTACATATGTAAAAGTGTTGATTATTGAAAGTTTCCGCTATACCAACGCTTTATTGCATATGGCCGCCATTTTACGGAGTGACCTTAGTATTAAATTTATTTCAACTTCACTTTTACAATGTATAAAATTATAAAATGGTTTCAAATTGGAATCAGTGGAGAATGTATTGGGTTGATAACTAAATTCGCGACATTTTGAAAGACGTTAAATTATGATATGCTAAAAGGTTATTGATTAAAATGCTTACCTTCACTGAAATTTCTTATTCGCTGAATGAAAGAAAAGTTATCGTCACGAATTTCATTGTCAACCTAATGCACTGTGAATAGAAATTGAATAAAAATAAAAGGTGAGAGTTAAAATGTGTTATAAAGTGATAGATGTCTGATACTTACAATTAGGAGTGTGTATCAACGATTGAAGACACGAGTGGATAAATGTGTCACGAATTTTTAACAAGAATTGAAATTTTTTACTATTTACAAGGATGACTTTTGTGTCAAATTTTCAAGAATTATCTTCACGAATTTTCAAAATATATACAAATACTGTATTTTCTTTAGTTTACAATAGTTTTGGATTTTTATGTTGTACAAAAAGTATAGATAAATTTGGACTAGTTGAATTATCTAAGTAAATCTAGATAAATTTTCCAGACAAATATTTCAAAATTTTCTAGGTAAACTATCTTTGCAAATATAGATAAATTAACTAGCAAAATTGTTAAAATAAATTTAGATAGATTTTCCAGACAAATATTTCAAAATTTTCTAGTTAATCTTTGCAAATGTAGATAAATTAACTAGTTCAATTATTGAAATAAATTTAGATAGATTCTCTAGATAAATTAACCAATTCAGATACAAAATGATGAAGGTTGTGATAAAGAAAAATGCAGATATTGCAATAAAAAGAAATATTTCAAGTAGATGAAGATACAATATTGGATAGTGAAGATAACACAAGTGATAAGACAACTGAAGTAGTGAAGATATAATATAAGATAATAAAGGTAATACAATATAAGCTACTGAAGACAATGCAGCACAAGCTAGTGAAAATAGCACAACACAAAATAGTGAAGATACTACAACACAAGGTAGTAAATACTGTACAAGATAGTACAGATAATGCAATCTAGTGAAGATAATGCAACACAAGCTGCTGAAGATAATACATCAGGTGAAGCTAGTAGTATAATATAAACAAATGAAGCTATTACAAATACAAAGATAGCAGAATATAAGGAGAATAATCTGATAGCAGGATCATCTGTACAAGATGTATAGATGACACTACTAGTACAATATAATCAGATGAAACTAGTAGTACAATATAATCAGATGAAACTAGTAGTACAGTATAATCAGATGAAACTAGTAATACAATATAATCAGATGAAACTAGTAGTACAATATAATCAGATGAAACTAATAGTACAGTATAAACAGATGAAGCTATTACAATCAGATAAAAACAGAATGAAAGTAGATTTAATATTAAAACAAAAGAAGATATATTCTACATCAAAATTAACCCTCTGCACCTGAGAAATATTGAATTGCAACTATCAGCAGGTGCAAAGGGTTAAATCCTTCTCTTTCGGAAGACACATTTATCCACTGTTGTCTTGAAAAACCGTGAAAAGCATGAACGTCCCGTACCATGGTCGTCCATAACTCTTAGTATAGTAGCGAAAGGGTTAAACGTGTAGTAGAGATATAGAATATATACGAATATTGGTCCGATCCTTAGCCAAGTCTTGAAGCGGACTCGCGCTACCCTGGCGTCCGTACGCATTCATCTCCGATGTAGATCTTGTGTTTCGTGTACTTATGGTCTGAGTGATGGTGGTGGTAGTGAGGATGAGTAATGCGTGTACGTGTAATGATCTCCCTGTCGCGTGTCTCCGTCCGTTGTCCACTTGCTCAGTACGGGTTGTACTTGGTGCGTTCTGATTTGAATTTGCCGCTGTCGGTGGGTCCCGGTGCGCCCGGGCTACGAAGCCTCGGCGTGAACTTGTGCGAACGGTGCACGCCGGTTGTCTGGACCGGAAGCGCGGATGCAGCCGCGCCAGCAGCACCACCTAGCAATTCCGTGAGTCCGCCAAGGGCGGTGAGGCTAGATAGGGCGTTCAGGGCGCCCGGCTTGCTTAGTAGCTGAGCCAAGGGAATGGCGCTGGCCAAGGGAGAGGCAGTGGTTGTGGTGTTGGAGGGAGAAGCACTTGCCCCGGTTGCCCCGGGAGTGGTACCGCTGCCAGGAGTTTGGGTATTTTGGGCCTCTAGGTTAGCTTTCTGCAGTTCAACACTGGGGAAAAGACACAAAATGTAAAAAGGTGAGGGTGGGAACGTTCTTCTCAAGTAAAAAACAGTTTAACACGATTGTAATGTATTTGTGTGCGTGCGCGCGCGACTACGGGCTATGGGTTTTTATTATCACCGTATGCACAACTCTGCGAAACGCCGGATTTTTGGGACCTCGGGACACTTATTTTGAACTCAAGTTTAATCAAGTTTCTACGATTTAGGCAGTTGTCATCAAACTACCCGTTGGATCTACCCTCCTAGATTTTCATTCAGCCTAACTTTTCTATACAAATATTATATATATGAATAAAGATTCATTTTACAAAATTTTGAATTTCAACACTAAATCTACCAGTAAATACAAACTTAACATGAAATTAGAAATGATGGAATGAACGATAAGACATAAATTCATATACACATTATTTCTTTATCTGGATGGAAATTAATGCAGATTTCAAGAAAACGCAAATTTTGTACAATAAATTGTGAAATAAGAAACTTACAAAATAATGTCACTTTGGTAGATTTAGTGTTAATTTTATAAAGTTGTGTATTTACAATGAATCTACTGAAAAGAGTTTCAACTAGATTTTAACAAATTTTTAATAAAAATACTTTTCAGCCCTTAAGAGTCATTAACCTTTTGACTGTGGCGCACTTGCATAAAACCAAAGTATGTATACCAAAATTTTTTCTACAGTAAAATATTGAAACACTTATTCAGCTACTTGCAGTTGACAGATCACATGAAACGTATGTAAAGAACAGAAAATGTTTTATAGCAAGAATAATTTAGAAGACATATACGTCTTATGCAGCCAAAGAGTTAACGTAATCAATAATCCCTTTTCCATGTCCCAAATCCAATGCTTAAGAGAATAATTTCAAACTTAAATTTCTGTCATCAAATTATTTAAAATGCCCTTTCCCTAGGAATACCCCAACCCCACATTTATTAATGCAACCCTTTACGAAACTCATTTAATTTTGGAACAAATTCTATCTGTTGAATCCTATTATTTACGGAAGCTTTGATTTCATAATTTTATACTAGTAAGTCAATTTCATTAAATTTCAATCAACTGGTTCAGGAGACCTTTTTGAGATCTTCCTCTGTATGTGCAATTATAATCTACTTCTGATTAATATCTATATTTTTACCCTGGGCGCAGTTAATTGAAAACATTCTAATTTAGGTGATTATTTGTAGTCCCGGGCCCCGCAAAGTCTAAGTCCGGCCCTGGTGCAGGGATAGTCCTCTTATTGAAATGAGATGTTTGGTAAAATAATTGTGAAGTAATGTAATGTCATTTGTAGTCTTCTTGAAGAGCTAATATTTTTTAGTATTATAATAATTTTAATATTTAACCCGTTGCACTCGATTGTCCCTCTGACATATTTTTTAACATTAAAATAAGATGTCAGGTGCAAAGGGTTAACACGTGATATTTTTCAATTTACTAATAAAACTTGAGTACCACAAAAATTGAAATGTGACTTTTATACAGTCGTGTCATCGCAGTAGTTAAATACAAAAACTTCTGTGATATAATAAGAGGAGTATCTCCATTGCGAGGGTTTCTAGATCTGTGCATACGATCGTGTGTTAGAGTGCTTTGATAAATGAACAGAAGAAAGTGAATGTGTTAACCCTTCAGGGTGGTGAATGATACCGGGTCACTTTTCTGTATTATGCTAAAGATGTGAAAATAGATAGGATGATACTAAAGGGGCTTTATATCTGTGACTAAAGGAGTTTTATATCTTCATTTTCATCTTTGATGTATTAAAAATTGCACAGGCTGAGCGTAATATTAATGCTACTACACCGTCGATATTTCCCTGTTAGATAATGTACTTGATATTTATATACTGGAGAATCTTTTTAGCGCCGAGAAGGATGAGGGATGAGATTTAAAATTTCCTTTAAAAAACGCCTTAAGGATTTAGTGTCCATTGTATTTTTTTTATTTGAATCACTTGTAAATTTATTTCTCATGTGTGGTGATTTCTTTTGAAGTAATTTTCGTTATTAAATGTAAGTTTTATTTTTAAGTGTAGTTTTCGTTATATTATGAGTTTGAATTAGTGTCATAAATGTGATATGGTGAATGTTGAATGGTGGATTAGTGTGTGATATGGTGAATGGTGAATTAGTGTCATAAGTGTGTGATACGGTGAATGGTGAATTAGTGTCATAAGTGTGTGATATGGTGAATGGTGAATTAGTGTCATAAGTGTGAATGTGTGGAACTGGTGCGTAGCGACTAGTCCCGCCCCTGAGCCCCTGACGCAGGAAAATATCGAGGGTTTAGCGTAATAGCATCCCTAGTAAGTTGGGTGATAATCGAATATCCAAATTTAAATATTATTAGTAATATTCAGAGCTATCTACAATACTGTTTTGAATATTCTGAGATACAAATAATAACTAATTAATCTGATTAGTTGAAAATTTTACCTGTCTCTCTAATTTAATAAACAGAGACATTCCTTAAATTTAAGATATTTCAAAAGTGACCCGGTATCGAATGAGTGAAGATTACATTCCCTGCCATTAATATTTTTAAACCAAGTGATATTCTTACCAAACGTATAATAAAACAGCTCTACACTCTTACGTCCTATGAAATACTATTAATTTTTAAGTCATGTACCGATAACGATTTATTTGAACAACAAAATAAAAAGTAACTGTATTTTATCAGATCGTTAAAATATTCTATTTATTATTTTAACAAATTTAATAATAAATAAAGAATAACTCAATCAAACCTATTTAATCATAAAACCGAAACAATTCATAAAATGAATATCAACTATTTGTCAATAGTCCCCCACCCTTTTTTATACATTCGCTCTGTTCTCTGGTATTATAAACTTTTCTGTTATTCACGTACGATTTTCAACGTGAAATAAACATATTGTTTGCCTTTCATAATTTCAATATTTACGTCAATAACACAGCTTTTATATCACAATAAATGAATATTTATGAAACTCTACAACGTGTATCGTTTTCGGTACACATGATCTGAAAGTGGTACTGGAAGATAATATGGCAGGGAACGTGATCAAAATTAATAATTTCTGTTTCTCTTCTTGCTTGAGATAGCTCGATCAAATCTAAAAACTATGGTTATTTCAGATGCAAAAATTATTGTAAATTATTTTGGTTAAATTTGTCAATTTTATTGCATTTATAAAAATATTTTATTGGTGAAAATACAAGTTGAAAAATAATGTAACCTGAAGGGAAGCAAAATTAGAATTTAAAGAAAAATTTATGTAATATGATTTAATATATCAATTAAAGGATTGATAAGTGTATATGAAATATAATAGATATTATTATTTGAATATATTACTGTATTTGTAACACATTATAATTTATAAAATATTACAATAATATTTTTCAGAAAAAAATAAAATAAATAAATACAACCAAAGAAAAATTATTGTGTCAGGTATTAAAACACATATATTTAACAATATATATTATTTTCTAATCTCAAGAAATATTACCAGATAATAAAAAATTTAAACAAGTTATAAGAATAAAAATAAATAATATTTTTGTAAATCCAATAAAATTTCCACAACCAATTCTCAGAGACAAGTTTCCACAGATATCCAAAATAGCCATAAGTCAAGATCGACCAACCACCCCAAGCAAGCGAGAGAAAAAACGAAACGATGACAAATGAATGCCTAGAAGAATAGTTATCGATTAAAAAACGACAGAGACACAGACCGTAGCGTAAGTGTGATGTTGGACAATAAAGAAAGAAATCGAGCGTGGTTTTCAAAAAACAGGCTTCACAGAGTTATGCCACAGGTGTGTTCTATGGAGCGTGATTCTCTCACGTACACCGGCTACGTGGTTCATGTGGGGATGAGAATATTATTTTAACAAATTTAATAATAAATAAAGAATAACTCAATCAAACCTATTTAATCATAAAACCGAAACAATTCATAAAATGAATATCAACTATTTGTCAATAGTCCCCCACCCTTTTTTATACATTCGCTCTGTTCTCTGGTATTATAAACTTTTCTGTTATTCACGTACGATTTTCAACGTGAAATAAACATATTGTTTGCCTTTCATAATTTCAATATTTACGTCAATAACACAGCTTTTATATCACAATAAATGAATATTTATGAAACTCTACAACGTGTATCGTTTTCGGTACACATGATCTGAAAGTGGTACTGGAAGATAATATGGCAGGGAACGTGATCAAAATTAATAATTTCTGTTTCTCTTCTTGCTTGAGATAGCTCGATCAAATCTAAAAACTATGGTTATTTCAGATGCAAAAATTATTGTAAATTATTTTGGTTAAATTTGTCAATTTTATTGCATTTATAAAAATATTTTATTGGTGAAAATACAAGTTGAAAAATAATGTAACCTGAAGGGAAGCAAAATTAGAATTTAAAGAAAAATTTATGTAATATGATTTAATATATCAATTAAAGGATTGATAAGTGTATATGAAATATAATAGATATTATTATTTGAATATATTACTGTATTTGTAACACATTATAATTTATAAAATATTACAATAATATTTTTCAGAAAAAAATAAAATAAATAAATACAACCAAAGAAAAATTATTGTGTCAGGTATTAAAACACATATATTTAACAATATATATTATTTTCTAATCTCAAGAAATATTACCAGATAATAAAAAATTTAAACAAGTTATAAGAATAAAAATAAATAATATTTTTGTAAATCCAATAAAATTTCCACAACCAATTCTCAGAGACAAGTTTCCACAGATATCCAAAATAGCCATAAGTCAAGATCGACCAACCACCCCAAGCAAGCGAGAGAAAAAACGAAACGATGACAAATGAATGCCTAGAAGAATAGTTATCGATTAAAAAACGACAGAGACACAGACCGTAGCGTAAGTGTGATGTTGGACAATAAAGAAAGAAATCGAGCGTGGTTTTCAAAAAACAGGCTTCACAGAGTTATGCCACAGGTGTGTTCTATGGAGCGTGATTCTCTCACGTACACCGGCTACGTGGTTCATGTGGGGATGAGAAGTGTGTGCGCATCGTCGGGACGCGACTTAAACCTATAAATCGCGTCCCGACGCGGAGGACGCGCTGCAAGGATCGAAATGTCACGAGCCACGAAATGGCCATCCACCTCGCGAAATGAAACGAAAGGCGAACGAGGTAGCCGATGGCCATTTCGATGGCGGCAGCAGAGCCATAATCCGTTGCACGACAGGAGGTGGCAGGAGTCCGTAAAAGAAAAATAAAAAAAGAACCAAACAGAGATCTCGAGAAGAGGCGTATCGTATCACAGATACTTTGGCTAAAGTATGATAACCCAGGATGGAACGTAGCATGGCTCTGCGAGTCACTGAAAAGCGGAAATCAAAGTGTGAAACGCGGAGGGCGCAGGATTTGCGCTCTGCCAAATGGGTGCGCACACGTGGCAGACACGGCATGTCGGCTGCTGATTTGGCAAATCGCGGATCCGCGGGTGCATAGAGGAATCAGGTCGATAATTGGCCCCGTACATCACTCGGCCAACCAGGGGCGGAGAAATTGCCGGGCAGAGCGCGAATCTTGGCCCGCGGGAGTGCTGGGATAACACGACACGTAATAATCATGGCGACCAAGTGGTGAGTCAGGTAAATATATCGGTGGGAGATGATGAACATATGTACATTCGGTCGCTATTCAAACAATGCAGTATATATGAGTGACAATCTGGAATAAAATATAATATGGATTAGAATTTATAACGTGGTGGGTGGAAACAGAGCGTGAGAGAAGGTTTTCTTCGGCTAAAAAGTACTGGATACTCTGGTGGTCGTGCTAATTCGTGGGCTAGAGGTTGGGTTCTTTTTCTTTTTCACGGGTTGCTTATTCAAAAAAAAAGAGGGTTCCGGTAAAATGCGCTATCGGACGCGTTCGATCGTCTCGAATCTCGTCAACGACTACGTTAGTACCGTTTCAGCCATTCAAAGAGTGTCGCCATTATCGGAGAAGAGGTATTAGTCTCATAGCACGTAGGGAACAGATCTGCATCCGTGGATAGTCACTGCTCGAACACGTTCAAATAATGATCAATAGCGAGGAAATGTACAAATTAAAATATAAAAGGCTTCACGCATTTGGCGAATGCAAATACCGTTTTCATTAATTACATTTTTATATTTAAACATTCAAGATGAAGTCTGTAAAATTTGCTAGTATCTATGAAAACAAAATTCTAGTTCAAATTACGGTGACCACAAAACTGGAGTATTAAGAATTTTAATTTAGAGCAAAGTTATTTTTATTAAAATATGACGTTTCTCTACTTTTCTGAACAGTCATTTGAAATTTAAAATATACCCGGACAAAACAGAAAGAGGAATTAAATTACACGTATGTAAGAGCGTTTGAACCAAGAGCGCCTGCGTGTACAAAATGGCGGGCGTTGTCGTAAGGAAAATGGCGATGCAAAGATCTATAAATTTGTGATATATTACGGAGCTATGTTACAACTTTAACATGAGAATTTAAAAAGTTGAAATTGTGGGCTTTCAAATTTTAAACAAATTTCTAAATTTAAGAATTTAAGAAATTTGGAAATTATATTTGGGAGATCAATAATTTAGAAACTCGGAAACTTACAAATGTGGAAATTGAAGATTGCAGACCTAATTTGAAAAGGAAATCTGAAGGCAACTGAACATCTGAAAATTAAAAATCTCAAAAATCCAATTATTTCTTCCAAACATATATTCCTTTCCCCATATTTCCTTAACAGGAACTACAAGTAGCTTAAAATTAACTAGTTAATTCCCTACCCCTTAATTAAATACCCTAACATCCTACATCACCATTTTTCCCCCAAAAATCGAATAACCTCCGAAAGTTTAGAAATATGTAAATAGCCTTCGCCAAAAGCGTCGCCAAAAAAACAAAAACTCTGGAGCATCGAGAACCGAATAACCCGGTGTGGAAGGAACAGTAGTGATGCTTGATAGTTGCTTGCATTTGTTGTTGCGGGGATCTCTTCAGGATAAAATCAGTAAATCAACGGAGCGACAATTGCTGGAGAATCGTTCGACTACGTGTCGTTTTCTGTCGGTGATTGTTTGCTTGAAAGGACAGCCAGCGACAAGTGGGGGAAAACAGATGTTGAGCGGAGAGATGTGTTCTGCAGGATACTCAGGGTACTGGACCTGGAAAGCAGGACCTGGAAACAAAGGATTAAGATCCTCTTCCGTCGTGGTATGACGAAGACGTGTCTTCCGGCGACTCCGTAGACGTTGATCCCTGGTTCGTCGTCGCTGCGACGTCTTCACTGGCCATGTGAACCTTACGACTACGATATATCTCACCTGTTTCGCTAACAGAAACCGAGATGGCGTTACAGCAGCCTTGCGCGTGTTTGCAAGTCAACTAATACTGTACCGCCATCTCCATAATCGTGATACCTTTGCCCTCGTCGACGCGCTGGGACAGCGTTAAGTCTTTCCATGCTCGCGAGAACCAAAAACCGTGTCTACCAATGAGATCCAGCGCGTCGTCAGAGCCAACAGAGTAACGAGATAACAAACATGATGGGAAACACGTTGTCGCGATGACAATTCCCCAAAGTCTCTCACTGATCACCTTCGAAACACCGAGGCTAAGAAAGGTCAATTGTGGGAGGAATGAGTATATAACACAAAACAGGCGAATCGATCCGGGGGCTCTCTGTCAGGTGGGTCGGGCAAAGGGTATATATATATAATATATCATTATAAACGTATAGATGTCTACAACATACACAGCCGTCGAGTCGGTTCAGCTGGCTAGAATCGCCAGAGAAAGAAAGAAAGAAACCAAGAAAGGGGGTGCTGGTGATGTGTCGCGATCTGTCGCAAAAACGTAGCCGGGACGAGTTCGATGTGTACCGTCGGGGGAATAGAAGAACAAAAGAAACTCTATTTCTCAAAATCAAACCAGAGCAACGGAGGCAACGTTGGACCGGTTCGGGTCCAACGTTCCTCGAGGTCTTGGGCGTGGACACGTCGGTCCATCGACGACGGGTTTAACCGAAGAGCGAAACACGCTCTGGGACCCGTGGTACTCACCTCATGCTGATGAGATACTGTGCTAGTGCCACAGCGTCCGGATTTCCGGTTATGGTGATCGTACGATCCGTGGCTCCACCCTCCCTCTCTTCGCAATTACTGATCCGGATCATGGCCCCGGAGATCTGACGAATCTCCGCGATCTTGGTACCACCTTTACCGATGATACAACCGATCAGCTCGTTTGGCACTGTCATCTCGTGTGTCTGATTGTTCGCCGCTGGTTGCTGCCTGTTTGTGTTGCTAGTGCGGAGCTGGCTACCAGCCAGGGCTGCCAGGGCTAGGGAGCAAATTTTCTGGGTGTGAAACTGTGAACTATTCTGTACTTCGGATATTATCGTTATTTTATAGTAGCTCCCGAAGTAAGAAAAAGGAAATCCGAAACATGAAATGTTGGCTGAGATACAAATATTACTCTGGGTCTCTTTTAATTTGACCACCTTTTCTGAGACTTGTACTTAGTAAAACTAAAGTATTGTTTTGGGATTTTCTTTTTCTTAGTCGGACTGGTTTGATACAGTGATGGGCAGAACGAGAGCCCAGGTCACAGCTGCTCTTTGAGGGAGAAAGAAAGGACTCTTTTAGAACGTTTTAACCAGTCAACTGTGGAATTTCTGATAATCTTATACATAATTAAAATTGAGTGACGAATATAGGATTCTATTATAAATTTTGAGTGAAGCAAAACGAGAAAAGATTGCGCTTTTACCCGATCAAAAATTAAAAATTAACGTTAACCGCACGGAAATAAATACATTAAGAATTAACCTTAATGGTACCGAAGTAAAGTTTAGGATTGACGTGTATACATAGTTAACTGGTTAATTTGGGAGAGTGGTAGCTGGCAGAATTAAACAATTATGAAGTTTGAAATGAACATTCTGAGTTGGAAATCTATATAGAAATAACTTTACGTATTTAGAAGTGGAGGAAGATTTAAGAAATTGTAAATTTTTAAAGGCTTTAATTTAGAAATTCGAATAGTCTGGAATTTAAGAATAGTGAAAAATTGGGTAAATTTTGTAATTTGGAAAGTGGGAATTCAGAAGTTGTACAGCTTGAAAATCTGGAGACTCAGAAATTATATAAAAATTAAAAAATGCTTGCAGATTTGTAAAATAAATAATATTACAATTTGTACATTCAGAAACTTGATAATACAAGAAAATAAAAATCCTAAAGACAGGATTAAAAATGTGATCAAATTCTAAAGTCTAAATGCGACTGCGAAATAATTTATAATTTAAAAGATGATAATACATCAATAATATTATAGACAATAGAGTAATTTATCATTAAAACAAAGAGCTGCCAGATTTCCAAATTCTCAAATGGACAAATTGTCTGCCCATCAATGCCCGCGAGCGCGCAACTTCACTCGCACGAATAATGATAAAATCAATAATCAAACTTCGAACTGCAGCCATATTTCAAATTTTCGATGCTCTCTTTTATCCTGGTTCACACCACAGCCACGTTCACACTAACTAACAATTTTTCTCGTTTTTATTTATTGCTGTCGCTAAGAGGAACGGCAGGAATCGTGTCAGTCAGCAGAATATCTTGATTATTCTCGCGTCTAACTTATTTTCAATTCTTCAACTTTACCTTTATTGTCCCCTAAAAATTATTCGTCTAGTAGTTTGTCAAAAGTATTATGTAAATAACAGGGTGTTTCCGATCGTATAGGTGTGCATTCTTTTTGAAAAATAACAAATACAATTTTTATATGCAACTTCATTTTTGAGGTAATTCAAGTAACATGAAGAAAATAGCTGGAAATACAATTTTTATATGCAACTTCATTTTTGAGGTAACTCAAGTAACATAAAGAAAATAACTGGAAATGTAACTGAGAATAATTGTATAACATTCTTGATATAATCAGTCAATCTCAAGACATAAAATTGCTAAATAAAATTAGTCAAAAACAATTGACATCTTATAATTCAAGTACAGTTATGACAGACATTGAAATTTATCAAACAAAATTTTATTCTTTTTACAAACACAGTTCAGTATAGACAGCAACATTAAGAACACTAATTTCAGTGTTTATTTCATTGTTATAATAAAATTGAAGTATAATTAACTCAGTGTTTATTATTGTTGTAGTAAAACTAGTTCACGAAGAATGGATCGAATGAATCACATAAGAAATTCAGTTTTTCATCCATTCTCTATTACCAACTGATTGTTATAAAAATTGCAATGATTAATAAAACTTGAAACTTCGTTAATCATCATGTATAATAAAATTTCAGTTAATTATTACGTATAGTAAAACCTCTGTTTTCAATTGACTTTGAAGAGTATCATCAAGGTTATTGCGAGGTCATATGTAGATCACAATATAATTCTCCTCACATAGCATCATCATTAAATTTTAATTTCAGAAATGTTTATATGAGAAATGTATTTATATAAGAATAAATATTTTATGAATAGAAAGAAACTATTATATACAGTAAGAAAAAGAAATAAATATTTTATGAATAACCTTGACGACCCACTTCAAAGTCACAGAACGTAAGAAATTGTTTAACCCAGTTTCTACCAGCAGATGATGAGAAATGGGTTTCAGAGAAACAAGTTTCGGTCGGAAACACCCTGTGGGATTTTCTAGAGTATTTCCAGGGAGTTCACTTACCTGCTGGATTCAGTCCACCAGTGTTGGCAGGTGTGGCGAGGCCTCCAAGGCCCAAAGCTGCTAACCCAGCCAACGGATTGCTACCAAGTTTGCCCATCTGTAACAACGACGAAGAGATCCATCGCTCAACAAAAAACAACACGTGCCGTCGACATGGAAACGGTTAAAAAGTGCTTCAGGTTGGGGATATACACCGATAGAAAATATAAATCTAAAGGGGAATTAATTTCATCTGCCTGCTTCCTCGCGCGTCTCACATTCGAGGATCGTCGATTCAAAAGGAAAACTCAAAGGAAAGTACCGATGTCAACCCACGAGTTGAAAGTAAAAATTGTGGACATTTTACTGAATTATTTACATTTTGATTAAATGAATAATAATTATAATTATTGACTCTGACGTTTGCTATTTTTGGTCCAATTGTCCTTACAGTGAAAGGTAATATTCCTCGAAGATACGCGGAGACGGCCATTTTTCTTTTCTCGACCAATAGCAGCGCTTCTAATCACGTGACGCGCCAACTCGTGGGTGGAGCACGGTACGCAGAAATTACTCGGAACAGAAAATCGAAATTCGTTCCGAAATGAAATAAAACTAAACGGAGATTTCTCGAAGGTTCGTCCTTCGTCTCGATGATCCATCGATACTTCTGGATTCTACGCAAGTGATATTTATGGCTTTTTACGCCTGTTTCTCTCCGTAGTCTCTTCAACGTCCCGACTTCCGACTGGATCTTAAAAGTTTTTATGCGCTTTCTGAAGAATGCACGTACACGTCGAAGGAACCAAAAATAACGGGAAATTATGACGAACGTAAAAGAATACACGTGTCATAAACGAATTGTTTGAATAACCTGAAAGTCAAATTCACTCGAGTTGGATCGTAACAAACATCTAAATTTATGTATCATTTTTTGAACTTGAAACTTGCTTTGAAACTAGACGGATTTTTTATTTATTTGATTTATGGGAAATTTGTTTGTATCAAATTCGTTAAGGGGTTGAACTTTAATACTTCAAAAACTTTTATGCAATTTTTGAGAATTTATATCTGACTGATAAATAAATTTGAAAATGAAATATTTTTACGGCGTTTAAACATTGATGTGTTTTAATAAAATTGTGTAGTAAAAATAATTACTAGGTAATTAATGTAATTACTATTTAATTAATTAGAAGTATAAAAATAATTTTAAAAATACGAAGCCAAAATCTGTCAATAAAAAAAAAATTATAAATGGATGGTTTTTCGTACAAATTTTACTTCTCAGTAATTTTTTTTTAATATATTGTGGTAATTTGAACTTGAATTTATTATGAAATGAATTGTTAAATAGTACAATCACTGAAATAAAATTTGAACAGTTAAATATTAAATCTAAGTTGCATATAAAAAAGAAAATTGCATACATGCCAATGTATAAAATTGACGAATTTAATAAAAGAGTTTTTATTATTTAAAAATGAAAGATTAAAAATAATACGTACGTTTGCAAGTGATTAAAATGGTTCAACCCCTCAAGGATTAAATTTTGAATTTTTTGGAAAATCTATTGTGGAACTGGTCCAAAAACAGGATTTTAATAAAAAAGCTATGAGGAATATTTTACAATTTTCGTATTTAATTGCCAATAATGGTTTGAAGATGGACGACGACTGTACTATAATTTAATAAAGAGATTCTTAAGGAAAATCGAACAGGAGAAAAAAACCATAGTAGAACTATGAACTAGAATTTTCGAATTCTCAAAAATCCAAATTTTTTAATTTCCAAAGTAAACTTCGAATTTTTTAAAGTCCAAATTTCCAAATTCTGATAATCAACAAAATTCAAATTATTAAATTTCCAACTTCATGAATTTTTTGTAATTACTATTTAATTAATTAGAAGTATAAAAATAATTTTAAAAATACGAAGCCAAAATCTGTCAATAAAAAAAAAATTATAAATGGATGGTTTTTCGTACAAATTTTACTTCTCAGTAATTTTTTTTTAATATATTGTGGTAATTTGAACTTGAATTTATTATGAAATGAATTGTTAAATAGTACAATCACTGAAATAAAATTTGAACAGTTAAATATTAAATCTAAGTTGCATATAAAAAAGAAAATTGCATACATGCCAATGTATAAAATTGACGAATTTAATAAAAGAGTTTTTATTATTTAAAAATGAAAGATTAAAAATAATACGTACGTTTGCAAGTGATTAAAATGGTTCAACCCCTCAAGGATTAAATTTTGAATTTTTTGGAAAATCTATTGTGGAACTGGTCCAAAAACAGGATTTTAATAAAAAAGCTATGAGGAATATTTTACAATTTTCGTATTTAATTGCCAATAATGGTTTGAAGATGGACGACGACTGTACTATAATTTAATAAAGAGATTCTTAAGGAAAATCGAACAGGAGAAAAAAACCATAGTAGAACTATGAACTAGAATTTTCGAATTCTCAAAAATCCAAATTTTTTAATTTCCAAAGTAAACTTCGAATTTTTTAAAGTCCAAATTTCCAAATTCTGATAATCAACAAAATTCAAATTATTAAATTTCCAACTTCATGAATTTTTTAATTCCCAAAAACCCAATTTGTTGAATTCCCAAATTTTTGAATTTTTAAATTCCCAATTTTCCGAATTTTTAAATTCCCAAAAACCCAATTTGTTGAATTCCCAAATTTTTGAATTTTTAAATTCCCAATTTTCCGAATTTTTAAATTCCCAAAAACCCAATTTGTTGAATTCCCAAATTTTTGAATTTTTAAATTCCCAATTTTCCGAATTTTTAAATTCCCAAAAACCCAATTTGTTGAATTCCCAAATTTTTGAATTTTTAAATTCCCAATTTTCCGAATTTTTAAATTCCCAAAAACCCAATTTGTTGAATTCCCAAATTTTTGAATTTTTAAATTCCCAATTTTCCGAATTTTTAAATTCCCAAAAACCCAATTTGTTGAATTCCCAAATTTTTGAATTTTTAAATTCCCAATTTTCCGAATTTTTAAATTCCCAAAAACCCAATTTGTTGAATTCCCAAATTTTTGAATTTTTAAATTCCCAATTTTCCGAATTTTTAAATTCTCAACTTTCTAAATTTTTAAATTCCCAAAAATCCACATTTTTAAATTCCCAAAGACCCAAATTTTTAAACTCCCAACTTTCTAAATTTCTAAATTCCCGGAAACCCAAATTTTAAAATTCCCAAATCTCCCAAATTCAAATCCAAAATTTCTCAACTTCGAGAAGCTTAAATTTTCAAATCGACAAAACCTGAAATCCTTAAATTTTTGACTCTCGAAAAGCCTATATTAACTTCCCAAGATCGATGACTTCCCACTTCTCGGAAAGATCCGCCTCTAAAGCCCCCAAGGCGGGGAATTACCGAATGGCTACCGTAACGAAACCTGAAGAAGACCAAATGCGATAACCTATTATTCAAATCATGTTATCCACATTAAATCAAAATTAAAATAAAAAACTTGAATAATATTATAGAAACAAAAAGAGAACTAAAGGAAACGTTCAATATTAATCAAAAAGCTAGGAAATCAAGGAACCTAATCGTATTCTAAAAAAGAGTATTTACATTACACTTTCATTCTTGCTATTGAGAATAGTGAAATTAAAAATAACAGTCCAATTACAGAAGATTTACTGTTATCTGGATCTCCTTGCACAATCAAATTAGTTAGCAGTACAGTTTTATAAATTACAAGTTAAAAGTTAATCTGCAATTATAAGTAAAAACTGATACGAATTCTTTCATATTTTTAATAAAAACTTAAAAATATTAACAATATTTTTAATGTAGCAGTTAAAATTCTACAAGGTTTACAAATTATAAGTTAATTGTCTTTTTTAACATTCTAAGATTATATATGATAGAGCAATGTAGGACAATGATTGCAAAATTATTTACAGTTTAAAATTATTTCTAGCACTGAAAACATACTGCACTGACAATCTTTTATTGTAATAAAAATTAACTTGTGAAGAAAATTATTGCTGTCAAGATTTGAACAAATTTTGCAAGTAAATTTTTATAATTTTCTTTGTGTTTAATTTTCATAACTTTTGTTTCGTGTAATAATAAGTGAGTTAGCAAACCACTAATAATATTACTAATTACTGTAATAATGATATTACTAATAGTAACTTGTTATTCACAAAATTGTGGAAATTTGTAAAATTAAGAACTTGTAATTTGCAAATTTTCTAAAAATTGTTAAAACAAAGAATAAACTAAAACTTGTAACTTGTAAATTCGATAATAATATTACTTAACAAATTATTGTGCAAGAGTGTCCTGATACTGAGTTTTAATTTTTCATTAATTCGTACAATCAACGGTGGTTCTACTGCACTACTTGAGAAGGGACCCTCAAATTGATGGGTGTCAACAAATTTTAATACTTGCTGAACATTAAAGATCTTCGCTTAAACATTGATTTCCCAAAGTTGCGAAATGCACTTCTAAAAAAACCGAGACAATTCAATTTAAATATTTATATATAAGGTTAAATATATTCCACAAAATGGATATGAATATATTTTGCATATGTTTTAGTTCACTATGTAAATTTTCAAATTTGTAATCCTAGAATGCAGTTCTGAACGCAACATTTTTTTTTTATTTTGTTTCTGTCAAATTTATATCTGTTACATACCAATTTGCATAAACCCAAAATTTTCTAAGGTTAATTAATTAAATATTACAACATTAAAAATACAATTTTTTAAATTGAAAATAATTGTCCATTCAAAAATCAATTTTTGTATATCCCCATTTTAACTTTTCACATTTCACATATATAGACATGTAAAACATTTGTGATATGTAAAAATGAAAAATATTAATATACGACCAATTGCAGTAGCTCTTTTAAACAAGCCACGCCCCTCGCGCGCCAACTCATGGTTTGTCAACAGTAGAGTTTCAAAAACCAAATTTTCTCAAGTTCCTTCAAGAAGTGCATACTTTGAGAAATTAGTTCCAAGAACCTTAACATTCCAGTATTAAAAAATCTGTGGAGACTAATCTAGCTGAAGGTCCTCGTTAGCGCCTGCTGGATATTTAATAAGATATCTCCTCT